AACTCGACGCCCTCCACGGTGAGTGGCCATATTACGAGGCATCGCCTCGCTGCGAATTGTTATGAATTGCCTCCTTTTTGGGGGGTAGTGGGAAGAATATCGATCGGGAAAAGCAGGCAGGGAGGAAGGTCGTCTGGGCAGCGTTAGCGCAGAAGAATCATTCTAGGGCTGGTAGACTTGCCTCCCTCCATGGAAAACCTCTTCATCCATGTTATGATCTCCACCACCACCCCCAGCCCTGGCTTTATTTTTATTTATTTACAAGAATGGGGCAGAGTAAATAACCCCCAAGGGGAGTGAGGCTAACCCCTTTCCCTTGCCTTCCATAAGAATCCAAGCTAACCTAAAGGAAACGGGAGGGTGGTAACATTCTAGTCTTCAAGACTAAATCAATAAAGGTTTCTAGTCCTCAGTATATATGTGCGTGCGTGCGTGGGTTGAGGGCTAGATATTTGTATATGGAGGGATTCTTAAGGAGAAGCAGATGCATGCATAGCGAAATCTAGTTAATAATTCGATGGCATTCTCGACCTGAAAGGACAGAGGAGAACAAAACGGGTTGAAAGGGACACTCTAACCAAAGATGTCCATCCAAGTGCAGTGTCTTTAAAACCTCCCTTTAGGTCACACACATTCTGCCTCGTCTTGTGGTCAAAGGAGTAAAAAAAAATATATATTCTACCAAGCGCAAAAGTCGGCGGAAATGGATACAAATCATTTGGGGGAGAAGGAAGGGGCACCGTTACCTTGGAACAGGCCTTATTGAACATGGGGGGGGGGGTGAGGGTATTACTTTGGAGTAACCAAGCACAGACTCGAGTTCTGCAGACACCTTGGAAATAGAGAGCAGCGACCATACACAAGGAATCCCTTTGCTCCTCCAGGTTGATCTAAACTTCCTCTTAAGTTTCTGGAACAAGGAAGACCGAAAGGGGGGGTCGTTGTATGTGTTTCCCCCCTAGTTTTACCTGGACTGGTCTATCTGGTTTTCCATATTAAAAGGCAGCTACGAACACCCCAGTGATAAATGTGTTTGTGTGCATTTTACATTTAAACAGGGCGGTGGCGGGGGGGGCGGATTAAGAAGCGGCGCAGTTCCTCCTCAATCCGGTGATAGCTCTGATCCTGCTCCTAATTCGGTTCGCAATTCGTAATCCGAACCAGGCGCGCGGAATTAATTGCTTTCGCTTTGCTTTTTAGTGTGCGCGTTTCAAAGAACAAAAACCTAAAGTTTAAATTGGCGACTTCTGAGGAGTGCGGTTGTGTGCAAGAAACAAAAGCTTGCGGGCAAGCATCGCTCCTGTATGTGTGTGGCTTGGCCTTCAGCTGTGATCCGCAACGCAATTAAGTTTAGACCGAAACAATTCAAAGATGAAACGTCATGGCAATGCGCCGAGATGGGGTGACGGATGCTTCTGGCACCGAATTGACTTCGGTTTAAGAATCCGGTTGTGCAGCCTAAGGTACCTCGCAGGGTTGTTGTTAAGATTAAATGGGGAGGCGGAGAACTATGCAGCTATCTTGCAGGAAAGTGGAATAATAATAACAGTAGTAGTAGTTAATAATATGAAAAACTGCGATTGTGTTTATTGGCATCATTGAGGTGACTACAGAGCTGCTTTGAGAATAAATTCCATTGGACTCATTAAAATATTACTCCTGAGTAAACATGTCGGCCTGTGTATCCACGTGGGGGTATATTCGTCCGAACCTGGTTTGGGACTGCGAGTTTATTATAATCTGATTAATGACCACAGGTGCTGTTTTTCAAAACGCTGCGTTTCATCCAATGCCCTGCCAGTCACCAACTTTTCATCTGTTCTGGAGAAAGCCTATTCTTGTAAAATCCCTTCTTCTAGTAACGCCTCCCCATCCCTGCCCCTTAAATAAGTACCCCCGCTTTGAACTGACAAAAAAGCCAACCCAAAATCCCGTGCCCTATTCTAAAGTTGATTTCTAGATTATCGGGAAAGGACGTGACTGGACTTTGGGGGAGAGAAATTAATTCATCATGCAGATGAGGGCTTTTCTAATTCCTCTACCATCTCCTGCCCGTTTCTTGACTGCTAATAAAGTAGATCATTGATTGTATAAAAATAATGTATTGGGGAGGGGGGCAATCTGCAGGAAATATGGAGTTGAGATGATAGGCAGAGGGAGGGAGATATATACAGTATACAGTATACACACCGAGAGAGAGAGTATTTAACTCACACATAACCGAAGAAATACATCGATTAATCGCAATCTGCCATGTAGACACAAACACCTGCCTTTAAATTTGCTGTGTGACCTCTTTTAAATGGATTCTCAGCAAATCTTTCAGAGCATCTCATTTCAGTGACGGGCACCTATTCTTCGAAGGCTCCCCCCTCTTCTCCACTGAATCCCCAATTAATCCTAATTATTTGGTGTCACTTCGGGTTTTGTTTTGTTTTTTAAAAAAACCCAAACCAGCCCTAGGAGGGTGGCCATCCATCACCCTCCCCGCTTCCCGTTTGTCCCTGAAATTTTCAAAACCTGTTTCTTTAACAAGCGCGATCCTCTGCCTCTGTATCGGAACGGGCCGCTTGAGGCTGCCAACCTTATCCGCACGCTGGCGGTAGTCAAAACTCGTTGAAGTTCACTCCAAGGGATTTACTTCTGACTTGGCGCGCGTAAGCACCGCGCTTACGACACTTCCGGGACCACCATTCTGAACCTTTTCAAAAAGGTGGGGGGAGGGAGGGCGGCAATCAAAGTGGGAACCGAAGGGAAGAAATTCGGTTTATGTTTACTCCGAAGCAAGCCTCCTGAATTTATTAAGTTCCATGCGATGGTGCTAATTATTATCAATAAATGATAGTACATAGTAAGAGTCACCCGTGTTCAAAAGAACTCGACTTCCCATTATCCTGTTGCTATTCTTGCCACAGCCCTGTAAGAAAAGGCAGTAGGAATAGTCCCAACTTGGTTTATTCCGAAGCAAGTCCCATTGGAGACCTGCCACGCAAGTGCATTATCGTAAACTAGTCACCGCCGGACTGTCTCCCTAGTGATGGCCAAAGCGGATCCGAACCGCAGGCCCTTTGATTCAGGACCCACCTTAGCCACTGGTCTCTGGGCTATAAATGTCGCTTTGTGAGCGAACTCCGGGAAAGGTGAAACTTAAAGCGATAGGGTGGTTTGCTTTGCGCGTTGCGCAATTGACTTCACTTTTGATACTCTTTTGAAAGGAATTAAAAGGGCGGATTTTGAGATGGCCCCAAAGAGCCAAATCGCTCCATTTCTGCCCTCGTCATCTCTTGGAAGCTGCCAGAGACGTCGCTGACCTCTCCTCACCCCCCCCCCCAACCCTCACCGGGGCAATTCTCTTTCGCTTTGCCAGACCCACACATCTGAGATCAACCTACCCTATAAATATTAAGGGGAGGTAGTGGAAAGAGAGAGATTTTTGCAAACTGGAAACAAGCGGGGGTCAGGGACACAAGGAGCGCGATGTGGTTTTTCTGCAAATAGTCACTTGACCTTTAAAGGGGGCAATAAGGCCTAGTGGCCAGAGCACTGCAGCTTTGACACCCAAGTTCAATTCCGCTTCCCCACCCGCTTAGGCAGCTCCTTGGGGGGGGGGGTCGCTCCAGGCCAGTCCCCAGCAGCCCTCAGCCCAAACTCGCCACAAGGGTAAAACTCTCACATCATGTGCCAATCATTCCTCACACTTTTTAGCCCTGAAAAGTTCGGTTCGTAAACTGTAGGGTGGAATCTAGAAAAAAAAAAATTACGGGGGTGTTGTTGCTTTTAAATCTTACTGGTGGCGCGGGGTGGGGGTGGGGGGAATCTCCTTCAGAGTGCAGCAACATCTACAGGATCAGGTTCCAACTTTTAAGGGACACCAACTGCGATCCTAAACAGTAGGACATCACACCGGATCCAGCAGGACGTACTCTCCCTGGCAAATGGGGGGGGGGTGTTAGAGAGTAACTGTCTACATGGATCGCGCCCCCGTCTCTCCTCCTGCTCACTAGACTTTTTGGATCTGCTGGTGTTCAATGGGAAAAAATCGTTTAGGGCCTGCTTTAAGAGACACACTTGGCACAGCCTATAGTTGTTTACGCGGAAGTAAGTACCACTTAGCGTTTCAGCCTTGCTGTCAACCCCCACGAGCGACGCCCCCCGCCTTGAAATATTTAATTCCAGTTGGGCTGGATACAACTGAATATTTCTAAAATCATCTTGGGGACTTTCCTAAAGCATTTCCTCCCTTGTTTTTTTTTTAAAAAAAAAAAAGACCTCCTAGCTGGATTTTTCACCCCTCGAGTTCCGCACCCGGTATTGATCTTGGAGTGGATTGCGAATTCCGCGGGGCAGAGAACCTGTCTGCTGTTCTATGTTACGTTGTGGAGAAACAACCGCCACAAAAAACAAAAAAAACCGAGAAGGAAGTTATTCTCATTCAGGGGCCCGATGTATCCATGCTTGCTTTTACACGGAAGTAAATCCCATTGGCTACGGCGAGACTGACTTTTAAGTTAACCTGCTTGGGGTTAGGGGGCCCTCAAATCAATGTAGGGCAGCAATTAACTGAAGAAACAGCGTAGACTGCGTTTAGTAGGTTTACTCAGGAGTAAGCACACTCATGCAGAATATATATATATATACACAAAAAAACACGCGGAAAAAGAGTGCGAATTAAGAACACGTGTTCGTTTACACGCACAGGTGCAACGCAAGGATGTTTTCGCCTTTGGAGAAAAAAAAAAGTCAATCTGGTTTTAGCTGGGAAGGGGCAGCTATTGGTTTCCCCACTTTGAAAACATTGACTCGGAAGTTCCCTTCCAATCCTATTATTTAAAAAAAATCCCAACGTACTTTTACAATCCTTATCATCAGAATTCAGATTCAAACGCATTTATAATTAATTCTGGACAAATAACTCTCCCACCCCCACCCCACCCCGTGCTTTGAGAGCCTACATTTAAAACCAATTCCATTTTATGAATTACTTGATAAATAAGCAACGCTTTTTTAAAATAAATAATAATTCGGCAGGCTTTGTTTTAGTATTTGAATGGCTTTTAAAATTACCAGCTTTATTACAAGTTTATGGAAACAGAACGGGGTGGGCGGACGTGCGGCGGAATCCCAGAACCTGATTGAGTTAAATCGCGAGGCGTTGAAGTAACTGAACCTCAAGCACAAAATGAAGAAAAGGAGAAGGGGACTTGGTTTGTTACCTCTCTCTTCTGTCCCCGTCCCCCACTTGAAAAAATAACAAATGTTTTCAGACCTCCTTTGCCCTGACCACAACAGGATTAATATAAATCTAGATACAAAAAAAGAGAAAATCTTCTATAATCTTAATAATAATAATAATTTATTTCATTGTACTTCATTCTAGTAATAAAGTATGCAGTTTTCAACCTCAAACTTTATTCTCTCCTCATATCTCCCACCTGCCGGTCGGCTGCTAGGCTGCTTTTTTATTTTGCTGGGGGTGGGGTGTGAACGCCCCTTGTCCTGTGTCTTCTCCCCCCCCCCCCACCCGCATTAAAAAAAATCTGGTTTATTTTCTTGAAGGCTTCTTGACATTCCCTTTCCCTTTATATTTTATAAACACCCCACACACAGCACGCAATGTATCCTTTCCAGTCACCATCTCTCCTGGGCCCTTGAATTCCCAAAGGGAGTAATTAATTAATACTGATCCAGCCAGGCTTTTTACTCCGGGGAGGGGGGCTAATGTCCTCCACCCACTTTCCCATTTCCGGGGATTCCTGAAAAATTCAGGAATCCAAAGATCCAGCTTTCTCCATTTCCATCCATTGCCCAGGAGAATAGGGTCGTTTCTATAAAGGACAACCAAGCATTTGAAATAGATAATGATGATAATATATATATTAATTAAAGGACCTGAAAATGATACTTACCGCCTTGATCCCTTCTAAAGCAACACCCCCGGACCTGTAAAAAGCAGAGTCCAACATTCAAGTGGAAAGGCTGTTATAATAAAAATTAGTTGGAAGAAAGGAGGAGTAAGAATAGAGAATAGCGTGTAAATACATATATATGTATGAACAGGAAGCGCCGTAGAGCAGGTGAACTTGCTTAGATCAGAACCTCATGTTTTTTGTTTTTGAGCAGGACACATTCATCGCTGTGGCAAAATAGGTAAGTCAGAGATCAGAGAGAGAAGGAGCCGGTGCCCAGGCTGCCTGAGTGGCTGAGCTCTTCCATCCTGCGCATACTTACTTGTGAATTAGCAGCTTGCCACGTTTGAGTTCATTGAGCCTTACTCCCAAGTAAGCTTGCATAGGAATGCGGCCCATTGGGTAAAAAACAAACAAATATGAATTGTCTTCCGAGTCAGGCTGCCCGGGGGATCGGCCAGCTTAACTCCATTTAACTAGGCGTTAAAGGACCCCCTTACTCTTTACTTCCGAGTAAGGCCACAGCGATTCATTGGGAACGTTTCCTGGGGAGCTGACAAGGTTCCTGAGCTCGTGGGAAGTCGTATTGCGAAGTTCTGGTCTGAAGTGCTTCGACCCTGAAGGCTGCTTTGCAGTGCTAGCCCGCTGGGGAGCCAAGACCCATTCAGCTTGGCGGAAGCTTACTTCAGAGTAAGCCCAGGCTTCAGCAGCGGGTCGCATCCCAGATGCTTCCCTACACACACACATCTCGAGGACCCACGATCAGGTTTTAGCGTGTTTTAAACAAGCACCACGATGGAGACAGAATCGTTTAAACCGGCTGTTGGAGGGGGGGGGCTGGGAGGAGAGAGAACCGAAAGCCCCCAACCCACCCAAATTTTATTGTAAATGGATTGGGGACAGGGTGGGAAAGAATGCGCCGATCGTTAGGAAAACGAAAGTCGTTTGCGTGTGCAGGGGGAGTTTTCATGTTGCCCGCCAGATTGGCTTAAATGCACTGGAGTGGAAGGGGATGCACGTTTTTCGGTAACGGGGCAAAACTGGGAGAAAGACATGGTAAAAGGTAGAAGAAGTCTGTGCACCTAAACATCGACTGTGCACCCTGGTAATTCTATAAGCCCCCGCCGAGTAGGGAAACGGCCACAGCTTCTGCAGTCAACCTCAGCCGCGGCTGCGATCTTCCTCAACCTGCCTACCTGGAGGTAAATCCCACTGTAATCAATAAAAGAAACTTCCGAGTAAACCTGGCCTTAGGGAAGGGTGGGGGAGATCAGACATCCAGATATTCACAATTGCCCGGAATGGGTGGCTGGTGGGGGGGGGGGGGAGAGAAGAGTAAGCCCCTGTGGAAGAAGGTGGGGCGTTTACTCGCGAGTAAGCATGCAGCGGATCATGCGAGAAGAAAGCGGGTGTGTGTGTATATATATATAATCATAATATATCATGATATATCATATATATAATATATCAGGCGTGGGGGAAAAGAGCCCATCGCGACTGCCCCATTGATGAGAATAGCAGCTAATAGCCAAATAATAGCAAAATCATTAGATCTGTAAAGTGCAGCGTGCAGTTGGCTGGTTGAAAGAGACGGCTAACTAGTGACCAGAAAATAATAACAGATCTGCAAAAGGGCAGCGTGCAATTGACCAGCTGCAACAGACCGGTTGCTAGGAAAAGAATAATTAGACTTGTAAAGTACAGCATGCAATGGACCAGTTACCCCCCCCCCCAAAAAAAAATACCCCAGCCACATACACCCCCCACCCCTCCCCGTCCCACCCCAGCATAGCATAGAAACCATCGTCCGAATAAAAAAAAGGGCAAAGTCACCTCTTCCTGGATGTTACCTTCCATCTTTAAATATTGTCCACTGGGGAAGGGCAGCATGTAAAGGGTTAGGGAGAGAGAGAAAGGTCGCTTTTTCTTAAAGGGGCAGATCAGGGGAAGTGGCGGGGGGGGGGAAGGAGGAGGAAAGGCTGGGATGGTGCTGCGCTCCGAGGAGGTGGGGGCAGAGATAAGTGATCTGAAGAAGAGGATAGGACCACGGAAGAGAAGGGGGGAGGTTAAAAAAAAAAAGCCACACACACATACACACACCAACCCCAACCCTGATGGTGATGAATACATTGGAAAGTTTTTTTGGCCCCGGAGAGGGTGTCAGATTGAATGCTCTGTGCGCATGTGCGAAGGTGTCCAAACTGACAATGCTTGGGAGATGAAGATAGCGCGGCAGAGCTGTTGCGGGTTCAAGGAGGGATCCGCTCCGCCGTCAAGATGAGATCCAAGGCGCGAGCGAGGAAACTGCCCAAAAGTAGGTCCCCTTTCTCCCGCGAGGGGGAGATCCCCGGCGAGATCTGGCGAGGGGGGTGAGAGAGAGAGGGAGAGAGAGAGGGGGGCGCGCGCTGAGCAGAGGTGGGGGGGGGGGAGCCATGGGTGTCTGGCTGGTCGGCCCTGGGGTGGGGGGACGACAACGACGAAGACGAGCCGATCGCCGCCTCCTCGGCCGCCCTGGCCTCGCCGCGGCCGGATGAGCGCAGCTGGGCGAGCCGGGAGCGAGCTCCGCGCCGCCACAGCCGCCGTCGCCGGTCTCTGCGCGACGATCGGGGCAGCCTGGCCAAGGCTCCCCCCGCCTCTCCTTGCGCTCCGAGAGTTGTGCTCCGCACCCCGCGATTGGTGGGGTTCACCCGTCTGAGGATCTCGAAGCGATCAAGGATGACAAGGAGGAGGAAGGAGGGGGATCGTTTTTTAAAAAAATGAAAAGTAGGGGGGACACAGGGAGAGCTAACGAGAGCGAAGCGAAAGTTAGCTACAAAGTTGAAGCCTGCAACTTTTTCTCTCTCCCTTTCCCTCCTCCTCTCTCCTCTTCGCCGAGTCGTTTCCAAGTTCTTGTGAAATCTTTTTTTTTTTTTTTAGTTCCCAGCTTTTGAAATATAGTGGGCGCTAGAGATTCGCGGCTGGGAAGGCAAAGCGAGGTTTCCCGAGTAGATGGGGAGCTTGAGAGAGAGAGAGAGAGAGAGAGAGAGAGAGAGAGAGAAGACCGTGGAAAAGAGAGAAGGGGAGAGAGAGAAAAAGGAGGCAAGGGGGGGAAGAGAGAGAGAGAGAGAAATATATATATTTATAAAACCAACCAGGCGAAGAGAGAGAGAGAGATTTGGATGGAAAGAGGCAGAGAAACTGGAACCCCAAATGCAGCTTGGCGTTATAGATATGTGTGTGTGTATGTGTATCTATCTAGATATACGCAGTGAAACTGACACGAGGTGAAATGGACAAGTTCCTGGAGCTCTGGCGGTTGTCGTGTTTTGAAAGTGAGCGATGGTGGGGTTCCTGCATGCGCCCTGTTGCAGGAGCAGTTTCTGTCCCCGATTCTCGCGCGCACGCTTGGAAAAGGGAGGGGGATGTAGAAAGTTTGCAAATATATTCGTGTCTCCTTCCTCTCTCCCCCCTCAATTTCTCGATCCCTCGTTGCCGGGGGCGGAGAGGGGGGGAGTGGAGGAGGAGAGAGAACCCTCATCCTTCTCCAACGCTTGTCATCGGTTACCAATGAAATATTAAAAGATGGCAATGAGAAAAGAGGGTGGGCGGATGAGAAAGAGGGGGGGCAGGTTGTTTGCTGCGCGATCTAAGATACTTTAGCTGTCAAATGACGATAGATCTTCCCCCCGCCCCATCTCCCACTTTCAGGATTTTTGTAGCAAAAATAATATAAGTTGTTTCTGCGTTGTTGCTGCTCTTTTAAACTCCGAAGTTAACACCGCGTGCATTTCAGTCTGGCAGATATTTTTTCATTGTTTTGTCTGGAAAAGCGGGAGGGTCTATTTTGTGTTTTTACAATCGCTGTTGTCTGTCTTGATTTTTTTTGTTTTAATCTTAATTATCATTTGGAAACGGTCTGTTTTGTTTTGTTCCCCCGCCCCTCGTTGAGTTCCATGCTGAAACCGGACGCGAGATTGTGGCTGGTTGAGGTGGAGGCGTGCGCGCGGGTGGCTGGGGAGGGGGGGGGGAGGAATGCCGTAAAGCTGTAAAAATAAAATACCTGTAAATATATTTGCAAATATAAGGTGACGGAAAGCTATCCAGGGGAAGTTGGGAGCTGGCGCTTTAATCCTGAATACATTTAAATACTTTAAAAAAAGGGGAAGGGAGTCTGTCTCTCTACTCCGAAATACGTTTACTCGGTAGTGAAAGTTCTAATGGATTTTCAACCATGAACAGTTTGCGCCAGGAGATTTCGAAAGCTCACCTAAGTTTTGATTCTCTCGAGAGAGCGAGGATCTGAAACTCCTGCCTTTAAGTCTTTGTGTGTGCGTGTTAGTTGTGTTGCCGATCGTTACAAAACTCCAGCGGATTTCCACCGCCGTCCCCGAGACAAGTTAAGAACGCGCGACCCTCTCCTGCCTTTACGATTCAAGTCCCCGATTCCGGACACCCCCTCCAGACTCAGTTCAAGGTCAAGGCGCCCCCCGTTCTGAATCCTTCCTCCTTCCAGTCCCCTGCATGCTCCTCTCCAGATCACCCCGAAGGAAACAAGTGGAGATAGAGATTTGCAACGCCGAATGTCTCACACTTAATGCAATTCCAATAAGTGAGATCGCAGCCCTAATGGACAGAAGCACGTTTCCTGCGGTTTTAATGGAGCGGTCCCCTCCGCTCCAGGCAGGATCTGTCCAACACCAACTTTCAAACTCGCATGATTCAGTCTCTACTTTTTCGGAAGGGCGAGAGTTCAAAAAAAAAAAAAAATGAAGAGAAAAGAAAAGAAAAGAAAAGAAAAGAAAAGGCAGCGGTCTTCCTCCTGCTGCTTTAACGTAATCAATAGTTGGATAATTTTTCAAGGCGCAAAAGGAACAAGCGCGCAGGGCGCGCAGGCAGCCGCTTGTCCTCCTTGACAGGCCCCGCAATTTTAACAGGAACAAATTCCTGTTTTCACAGCTCTCTCTCCCCGGACCGCTCCCCGCCCCCCAGCCCGCTTTTCCACTACTGGGTAGAATCGAGGAAGGGAAGAAAAATTGATCTCCAAGCAGGACCTCGTTCCGCCTCGTGTCTTTTTACCGCTGTATCAAACTTGGGGAACGGCTGGACTTTGGTACAGCAACTTCTTTGTAATTAATACTATAATTTTTCAATAAACAGAAATATCGGCTCCCTTCCATATACATCTGCCTGTGCTGCATTAAAAACAATCACATCCAGAATGCCTCAGGTGATATATGTAAATTATATCTCTCTCTCTCTGTGTGTGTCTTTTAAAATTAAAATTTGTCCATTTCATCAGGTCGGAGTGGAAATGTCGCTGTCATTTCCCCCTTATGAGCTTATGACCTGTAATGGACGAGACCTCAGGTGTGGTTGAATGCTTCCTTTGGATAATTTCAGTCTTAAAGGCTGCACTTCTGTGCCCACTTACTCGGGAATAAGCCTTACTGAAATAAAAAGCGACTTGCTTCTGAGCAGACTTGCCCAACCTTGCGCTGCAAATGTGTGCTGGAGAGTTTAGTTCACCCCCCCCCCAGGAGGGCAGTTCCACTCTTTGTGTTTTGGGGTTCTGGGTGTACATGGGGAGGGGGAGAGGAATTAAAAAAAAAATGTAAATGGTTTTCAAAAACTTTTTTTTTTTTTTTGAGCCGCGCAAGGAGAATTTCTTTCTGCCCCCGCCGTTTACCACTTGATCCAACCTGGAAGTGTCTGTTATGAAAGTCCTGATTAAATTCAGCTGTTTTGATACCAACCCCAGACTCAACAGTTTACAGCGCGTGGAAGGAGGAGGGGGGGCAAGCCCTTTGAAGCTGAGGATACTTTTAAGGTTCTCCCCCCCCCCTCTAAATACAGTAGTCCGGGTTTCCAGATCCCTGGGGCTTTCTGCACGGAAAACGTTCGGTCCTGATTTGCAAGCGATCGTTGCTTTCGCATTTATCTCCGGATCAAACGCCTTCAAATAACCATTCCTCTCCAACACGGGCCTAATGCGTTCGCTTTCCTCCTCCCTGCCCTGAAATGCTTGTCAAGTTTTGTTTGTGTTTTGAAATGCTGATCGGGTATCTTAGACAAAATTAAAATTGAAAATCATCCTCGCTTCCTTGTGACTGATGCAGCCGAGGAGGTAAAGGCGAATCAACGTTTGGCTGAATGCGCTGTAGTAGGATTTGGTTTTCGGTGGGCAATATTTTCAGCAGATGGAAAGGGGCCTCTCCGGAGACTCCCGGTTCCACGACATGTTTTCGCTACGAGGAATGTGATGTGTGAATGCGTGTGGGTTTCGTTTCTTGAATGGAGCCCTTCACCGCGGCACCTATGTGAGGATGAAATTTTAATTTCTCCAGACAGCAGTCCCTTGGCATGAACTGGGATGGCCTGTGTGTGTGTGCGTGTGTGCAAGTTAAATGACACCCCCCCACACACAGCTGAATAAATTCACCCTGGGCCCTGCAATCCTATTCTCGTTTAGCCCCACTGAACTCAGAACCCAGTCGACACGTACAGAACTGTCGTCCTACACGCGCGCTGAGCTGAGAAAGCAACTTGTGGCTTCTTCCTCCCGAGTAGGGCTGCATCTCTGGATTAAAGAACTCCAGAACAAATGCAATTATAAAGTGTTGTATTTTTTTAATAAAAAAAATATTATCTAAAGGCAGGCTCAATGAGCACCAAGATGGAGCAGAGGCTGAGGCGGGGAGGTGATACCTGATTTTTGTACCACGATCACTTCCCTGGATTCTGTCCCGCTTTAATAAATAAATAAATACATACACAAATAAATACACAAATAACAAAAACCGCTCCTGCAGTTGATTCCCATTTACAGCAAAAGGTTTGGGCTGCGTGCGTTGCAGGAGAAAACGTGGTGATGGTTGGGAGATGCCTTTACACTGGAAGAGACAGGGAAATAAATAAAAAAAATTAAATAAAGTCTAAGATAGCGGTGCTAGGCTCTGCGTGTCTACTTGCAAGTAAAGCCCATAGAGCCCGGCTGCACTCATAAACCCACTTTACCCAGGAGCAAGCCCCATCGGATTAAATAGGGCTTGATTCTGAGGAAGCACGGCCAGGCCGGCAGCCATGATCCTGGCTTTAACTCTTAGCCAAAAAGAAATAAAGAAGTGTGTGTATATACATACGCATATATATATATATAGGATTGCAGCCCGGGTGACTTCCTTAACCGTCGAGAGCCAGATTATGGAATAAAACCTTGAGGCAAGCCGTTTGAGGCTGTGTGTGAAAAAGAAAGTAAGAGGAGAAGAAAGGGAGAAGTTAAGGAGCGAGGAAGGGAACGATTGAGACCGGCTTCCCCAGGAACCGAACCTGGAGCGGCTGGGCCGAGGCTGCGCCGTTTCAGATTCTCCAGTCCCGGGAAGGAAAGGCTGGGGAGATTATCCTCGGAGTGGCCCGCCTGATGGAAGCGAAAAGCTCTCCGATCTTGCTCTTCCCCCTCTCGCCGTTTCTCAGCACCAGGTCCTTTGCAGCGCAGTCTGAACCGCGTCTGCTCGGAAGCAAGTCCAATTGGATTCATCGGGGCTTGCTCCCGGGCAGGAGAGGTTAGGGTCGCAGCCTTAAAACGTCTTTGAAACGCAAAGCGGGGGGGGGGACCTTTTTTTGCGTTAGTTTTTTGAGGCTATGCCGTCTTTCGCTGGCTTGGCCTGGTGCTGCGGGGGGGGGGGTGCGGGCGACTAAAAGGGGTGCAATCTCCCACCTGGATCGGGGAGCTACGTCATTTTCTTGCAAAAAATAAATAAATTACAATTAAATTGAAATGCAGCGGAAACGCTCTGCCCTCATCAGATGGCTTATTTCAACAGGTTTGGAGAACTTTTAAAATGCGAGCTTGCTTTTTAAAGGAGGCATTAAAGGCGCCCCCCCCCCCAATTAGGAATTCCGCTTTCACAGATGCAGTTCAAGCAAGAACACTTTGCTTCTATTCCCCCTTTGGGAGCAAAAAAAAAAGCATTCATGTATAGTTCAGATGTGTCCAAAATATATAAACAAATTTCTCTTTCTGCAAGGGTAGGGCACTGGATCTAGGCCTCTACAAGGCTGCGAATACATACACCCCCCCTTCCTAGTTATTCCCTTTAAACTGAGAACAGTATAGTATATACCGTACTCTCTCAACATCAACTCGGTTCCTTCCTTCAGACAGCCAGCTAGAGTTCTGCCTAGCAAGCTGAAAAAAAGAGACGGTCCACGGGCTACTCATCTCTCTTCCCGGGTACCCCCCCCCCCATAAAACCCCTCCACCCTTCCTGCTTCTGGCTAGGATCGCGAGATTCTGAAGAGCTAGGGAGACTAAGTTGAGATGCTGTATGTGTGTGTAATAAGGCAGTTATGGAATGGTGCCTACGCTGGGCAGATCTGTAGGAGGAGCGATAGCTCTGAGAATTGCTCAGCCTCTGACCTGGGACTCCCCATAAGTCAGGATCGCCTGCCTGCCTGCCTGCCTGCCTGGGTAAAAGGGAAGCCCATTTAGTGAGTCCTTCATTCTTCTCTCAGCAAATTCCTTCTCCCCACTCTCCCATCCTGAAGGACCGCCACTAGAGCTCAAAAACGACACATGGCCTTGCATACTGTCTCTGACTGTAGAAGGCAGCTTAGAAGTTCCCTCACTGCCGATAGCCCTGCCTTTCTGCACTAAAATGCTCCTGATTCCTCCCTCTCACGTCATCTAAGGTTGCATGCAGTCCTAGGTTTCTGGACCCCAATGCCATACTTTCTCACCATGTGCTTCTCCAAACATCCTTTTTGTTGCACGTTCATGACAGTTTGCGCTCAGGATGCTATCAGGGCAGTTGCACGTGATTATGCTTTCAGTACTGTTAGTGCCACCAAAAGTTTTGGAGTGGACACATGGGCGTAGCCGGGGGGGGGGCAGGGAGGGACAGCTGCCCCCCAATCAATCAAATTCAATAAAAATACATTGCAAACTGAGGTTTTGCCCACCCTAACAAAAGCCCCACCCCCAATCCTGGCTATGCCCTGATTTGTTTCCAATCGATGTCTATCCTGTCATTTTCTGCTGAAATTCTGTCACTTTACATACCCCCAGTGTTCAGGGGTGTGTATGGGGTTTTTTGTTTTCGCTTTTGCTGCTGTTCCATTTTTGTTGTGCTGCAGCTCCTCTGCACAGCTATTATATGACAGCATTGGGAAAGTATCAAATAATAAACCAAAGAGGAATAAATGGCTTTACTGTGAACATGTTTCAGAATAAATCCCAATAAAACATCAGTCTGGAGAGAAGCTGTGTGGAGAGAGAGAGAGAGAGAGAGAGAGAGAGAAAGAAAGAAAGAAAGAAAGAAAGAAAGAAAGAAAGAAAAAGTTTGTCTTCCATAGCAATGACTTTAAAGTCATGATGTTTCCTTTCTATACTCATAGCCATTTTTCCCCCCTAAGCCAAACAGCACCCCCCCCCCAGTATTCCAGCTGTTTGATCATTTTGGCTGCTGATTTCTCTACCTTTTTTGGGGGGGGGATAATAGAATTGTAGAGTTGGGACCCAAGTTTAAAATTTCTCCACCTTTTTTGGGGGGGGAGGGGGATAATAGAATTGTAGAGTTGGGACCCAAGTTTAAAATGCAATTGCTACTTAAGATTTGTTCACATGTCACCACTGAGCACAAAATGTCTCTGCCTGTATGCAGGAGAAAACAAGCTTGCTCCATCTTCCATGTGACAGCCCTTCAGGTATTTGAAGATGACTCTCATATAACCTCTCAGTCTTCTCTTCTCCAGGC